AAATCAATGACCCCCCGGGGCAGGGGGCCAATTTTGGACCCAAGGGCTATAAATTGGAACAAACTTAGTAGAGGTCAACTTTTTTTAAACAAACTTTTGGTATTTCACTCACTAGACGATGTTTTATGCTAAATTATCTTAACTTTAGTTCGTTTGGGGTAATTTTTTTTTTAAAAAGATTTTGAAGTTGTTTTCTTTTGGTTGCCTTGGCAAACAGACTTCTTCGAATTCAATTCTTTGAATAATTTTTAAAGGTGATCTCACAAAGAACATTCCTGTAAAGTTTAGATTGAAACTGGCTAAGCGTGTTTCATGAGTAGATGTTGTTTAAAGTAAAAAGATTATATGTATGGCTGTTCACAAAATTTGCAAATCACAAAAGTTCACCTTGTCACTTTTGTGACAGGTGAGCTAAAAAACAGGGAATTTCATTAATTTGACCTTGAAAGTCAAAGTATACAATATTAATAAGTTTTGTTTGTGAGCAGGTCTGCTTTTGTCCAAGTACATTGTATAAAAAATCATGAATAACAAAATTTATGACAATTTAACAAAAAGTCATCATTTGACCTTGATAGTCAAGGTCACTTAAAGCTTAGGTAAGGTCTTCGCCTCAAAAGTTATTTTGTCAAAGTCTGAAGATAAATCCATTTATCAATTACCAAGTTACAATCAATTTTTATAACAAAAAACCAATGAAGATTCAATAATTTGACCTTCAAAGCCAAGGTCATAAAATGATCCAAGGTCAATTTTGAGTTTCATATACATATAGGTTTTATTCCTAAAGAATCGTTTGTCTCATTGTCGAAGTTAATCCATTCATTAGTAACAAAGTTATAGCCAGGTAAAGCAAACAAGAGGGGCCATGATGGCCCTGAAGTCGCTCACCTGTATATAGGCCCCAGAGCGGGGCCAGTTTAAACCCCAGGACTTTTGTTTGAACAAACTTGGTAGACACCCATTAGAAGATATTTCATGCTAAACATCTAAGGTTTGGCTCGTTGAATTTTTAAAAAAAAGATTTTTTAAGATTTAACTATACACATATAGTTAAAAGCAATGACACCCCTAGGGCGGGGCCAGTTTTGACCCCATTTGACACTCACTAGAAGATGTTTCATGCTTAATATCTAAACTCTAGCTATTTGTTTTTTTTTTAATCAGATTTTTAAGTTTTTGCTATACACATATAAGGAAAATCAATGTCCCCCGGGGAAGGGGCCAATTTTGACCCTAGGGCTTTTATTTGAACAAACTTTGAAGACACTAACTGGAAGATGTTTCATGCTTAATATCTTAACTCTAGCTATTTGGGTTTTTTCAAAGAAGATTTTTTAAGTTTTTGCTATACACATATAAGGAAAATCAATGACCCTCGGGGCGGGGCCAATTTTGATACTAGGGACAAAATTTGATCAACTTTGGTATTGGACATTCAGATAATACAATATACCAAATATCAAAGGTCTAGGCCATTTACTTTCAGACCAGAAGATTTTTCAAGTTTTCACTATATGTATATAATGAAAATCAATGACCCCCCGGGGCAGGGCCAATTTTGACCCGAGGGCCATTATTTGAACAATCTTGGTAGAGGTCAACTTTACATTGTTTCATGCCAAATATCTAACCTGTAGCCTTTACAAATTCAGAGAAGTAGATTTTTTTTAGGTTTTACAATATACATATAAGGAAAAACCTATGACCCCCCCAGGGCGGGGCCAATTTTAATTCTAGGAACAAAATTTGAACAACTTTGGTTTTGGACCTATAGATGATACCATAGACCAAATATCAAAGCTCTAGGCCATTTACTTTCAGACCAGAAGATTTTTCAAGTTTTCACTATATGTATATAATGAAAATCAATGACCCCCCCGAGGGCGGGGCCAATTTTGACCCGAGGGCCATTATTTGATTAATCTTGGTAGAGGTCTACCACACAATGTTTCATGCCAAATATCTTACCTGTAGCCTTTGCCAATTCAGAGAAGAAGATTTTTTTATGTTTTACTATATACATATTAGAAAAACCTATGACCCCCCAGGGCAGGGCCAATTTTGACACTAGGGACAAAATTTGTACAACTTTGGTATTGGATCTTCAGATGATACCATAGACCAAATATCAAAGCTTTAGGGCATTTACTTTCAGACCAGAAGATTTTTCAAGTTTTCATTATATGTATGTAATGAAAATCAATGACCCCCCGGGGCGGGGCCAATTTTGACCCTAGGGCCATTATTTGAAAAATCTTGATAGAGGTCTACTACACAATGTTTCATGCCAAATATCTAATCTGTAGCCTTTGCCAAATTATAGAAGAAGATTTCTTTAGATTTTACTATATACATATAAGGAAAAACCTGTGACCCCCCGGGGGCGGGGCCAATTTTGACACTAGGGACAAAATTTGAACAACTTTGGTAGAGTACCCATAGATGATACCATATACCAAAAATCAAAGCTCTGGCCCATGTACTTTCAGACAAGAAGATTTTTTAATTTTGTGTTTTTTGAAATCCTTTTCTGGCCCTATGACCTACATATGCAACAGACCGGAACCATTTGAACAACTTTGAAAGGGGACCACCCAAGGATCATTTCTGTAATGTTTGGTGGATGTGCAGTCATTGGTTTCAGAGGAGATGTTGTTAATGTTCAAAAGTTGACGACGCACGACACACGACGCACGACGACGGACACAGGGCCATCACAAGTGAGCTAAAAATATAGGAAAAATATTCAAAATATAGGAGAATATAGGAAAAATAGGAGGTTTTTTAAAATATAGGATTCGGACCCAAAATATAGGAGTTTTATAGGAATATAGGAATCAGTTGACAGCCTGATATTATGATATAATTTTCATTTTTAGCAAAGTATCATTCACCCATACTGCTTTTTATAGCAAAATCATATTTAAAGCAGCATGCCTCCATATTCATGGATATTTTCATGAAATTCTGAAAATGCATTTAAAAGTAAAATGTTGTGAAATATACATAGGAAGTAATTAACACATTGCAAATTGCACTTACGATCCACATAAATTGCCAAAAAGTGGTCAACATATGCACAAATTGCTCTAACTGTGTTAGTTACACAGAATATGACTGCATTAGTCAAGCAGTACATGGTGGATAAATACATTTTGTACTACAAAATCAGCCATTAATCATACAAAACATGTAGATTATAACTTAAATTACTAAAAATTTTAGTACATTTTTCTTAAAATAATTTGGTTTATTCAGAGGCATGCAGCTTGCATATTGCAGGGTGTGGAATAGTGATATAATTTTTCTCATGTTAACATCTTAACTTTATAGTTCTATTAAATGATCAATCCATTTATTTAAATATAACTAGCTTTTATCTTCTTTTTTTTTTTTTATAACATTGTAATATCTAAAATGTCCAATTTTAATGTCCGGGCAATCTGTAGATAAGTGGTTAAGGTCACTTAATAAAAATAACTTAAAATATGAGTTTGACTTCACTTGAGTTGTTTAATTCTACCATAATGTATAGCTACTGGGAAATGTTATAATATTCAACAGAACCCATATGACATAAGCATAAAAATCAAGGGAGAGCATCAGTTTCAAAGTAGACCTGAATTACCTACCTTCGATAGAGATGAGCTTAACCTTCGAACATTTTGTAATGGAAGACCATGTGGTGTAGAGAATCGCCGTCTAGACTCGTTGTCATGGAGAGTTGCTAAGGCAGAATGAGAATCTGAGGAACGTCCACTGGCACTAGAAACATTAAAGAAAATTTGATTTTCTTAATGAGTTTTAATATGAACTTAAGAATGTCACATTTAGGTTTCAAATTAGGTACCGTGCCATACTCTATATCACAAACCCATGCTGCTTTTGTGACTTCACAAAATGGTATGGCTTGGCTGTGCATATATTTTGAGGTGAAGTAACTTGCGTTATACAAACACAGTGTTAAAGTGCACTAATGTTAGTGTTACACTATATGTTCTTTTTTAAGTTTGTGATAAACAGAATATTATATTTGTGTAGGTTCATTACTAAATTTATCAAAATCTCTGAATGAAATAGTATCCTTGCCAAGGGGTTGCATAATATAATTTTATTCAACTCCTTCAATGAATTCAGTTGGGAACCAACACTCGTTCAATATCCTCTTATATATCAAAACATAAAACATAAACAAATTGATAAACATTTTCCTCAGCAAACTTAGTTAATTTAGATTTAATATAAGATTTAATATTAGAAATTATAATACAAATGTACCACCAAGATATATAAGTCAACCTTACCTACTTTTCCTCAAACTTGAACTATACCCTGGTACATTTTCATCAAAACTGGGTCTCGCGTTCTTCTTCCTGGGTGACCTTCTCAGTTCAATTTCTTGTTTCACGACTGACTTCTTTTTAGCCTTTGGAAATAAACATACAGGAGACAGGCAGGAACTGTATGTTTCTTCTTTCACATACTTCTCCTGAAGTTTATTGAGATGTTTGTTGATCTTCTCCGTCTTTTTGTCAATATTGTAGCTGTAAAATGTGATTTTCATATTTTTATTTGAAAAAATTTTTGCATGTGAATTTAATCTTTGACTATTGAAAATCAATAAAAATGTTAAACAATAAGTTATCTAAGTAACTGGAACTTTAAGAAATAATAAGGAAACAAAACATTTGACGCCCCATATTGGTCAATTAGATACTAGAAACTATGAACTTACTAGATATCATGTGAAATAATATCTTTACTATCTGGCCAGGAGGCTTGATGAGGGCTCGCTGTATCTGGGGTCAACATTTTACCTTTACTTCTACACGGATGCTGAAATATAATATTACATCATATTCTAACCTTTCAAACTTTTGAATACTAGCTTTGATAATGACTTGTCCATGCCACAAATATAAGTTTAAGAACTACCTACACTTCAGAGGATTCTGACCATAATTTATACTGGCTACATAGGTTAACTCTAACCTTGCTGGTAGCAATTGATTGGACCCATGCAACCTGTGTTAAACAATATCATGGTCTGCACTTTTGGATGTTCAGTGACATACTTATTTTGAAAATTTCCCTAAAAATGATAAATTGTTATATCCAGATTGAAAGATGATTAAATCGGTCTACAATAAACAGTATAGCAAAGATTATAATTATATCTTACTTTAATCGAAAAAATGTCTGTCTCAATTAAAGTCTGTTAAAAATGGTGAGTAGAAATACCGTTAACAAGAATACAATGCTGCTTCAGACAACACAGCACCACCTTAAGTGTTGTTAATAGACTAACTCCAGAACTTAAGAATATTTGGGTTTTTCACAGCTAATCTGTAGGTACAAACACAGCTTCGAAAATAAGCACAACAGGTTTACTAATCTGTTGTGATGGGTAGTGCACCATGAAGCTCTAAAGGTAAAAGTATGTTTGTACCTACGGATTAGCTGAGAAAAACCCACATCAGCCAAGTAAAACTGTTCAATAGAATTTCTATATGATAACTCCTGAAAACGTCTTTATGTAACTACTGTATTATACTGATCACTATATGTAGTAACATACCCTTCTATGTACCGGAGACATATTGGTAGCAGATGCTGACCCATCTGGCTGGAAGAATTTCAGGAAACTCTGAATATCTATACTGGTAGACACTGTCAAAAACAAAATGTAACATTTAATGTGATTTCAAATTTATTGGCAAAACTGCCTAGTCCAATACAGGTTAGCAGCTGTGTATTTTGTCCATTGAATTAAGAATCGTTCTAAGCAATGAATAATAACCTTATAATATTACATATTGTTGATGTTCTAGAGCTAATTGATTTGCGACTTAACAACACAGGACAACATCAGATAAATTCCAGCACACAACTTCACAAGAAAAGCTAGTACTAGACTTTCTCATTCTCACAAATAAAGAATATAAAGAGCAATAAAACAACATTTTCTCATCTTTATTTTGTGTTTATGTTTTCTAAAAATATTGAAGGCTTAGCTAGTTTGTTTAACTGAATATCAGACATTTGTTTACATTGACAACTCTCTGTTTCTTAAAAAAAAGGCGACAACCAAGATTAGCCACAATTCATTGCAGAACCGGCATAGGTGTCAAAGACAATGAAACTTAATTTTATGTGATAATGGCCCTCAAATCAACAATTACCTCAGGGCCGCAATAAGGACATCTTTGGCCATTATCACGAAATGACAAACAGCAAAGAAATACAGTGTTTTCATTTTTATCTGAGCTAACAAATGTGCCAACGAAAATAGCTGATTTGGCCAATGGGGATATTTTAATCTACCGGCTGAAAATACAATCCATTTTAACAGCATTTCAACTGATGACATAAATCACCAATCTGTTTATAATGAACTCTGCAAGTTTTAACCACTAAATATTTTTACCTTCAGAAGGTTGTAAAGGTGAAGACATTGGCATGCTTTCTGTTGACTGCACCCTGGATAGACAGCGTTTCTGTGATTCTATATACTGTAGTGCCAGTCTCTCAGGCCATTCTGCTGTATTCTCTAACATATCTAAAATACATGTCTGATATCACAATGTTATAATCTACATGTTATTGATTGGGTTTTACATCAAACAAACACAGTATATGTCATATGGCAACTTTCCAGCTTCACTAGTGGAGGAAGATCTCGGGTGCCCCTCTGTGTATTATTTCAGGCACAAACTGGCACCCGAGTAGAACCACTGACATTCTATCTACATGTACTTTATCATACATTATGCATCAGTAAATTGTTACCACAGTTCTCTCAACTGAGAGAATAGTGTGGATTTTTTAACTTTAAGATTTTCTTACCCCTGGAAAACGCCCTGCTCTGTTAGGACAGTCACAAATAAAATTTCGGTCCACACTTGATGCATCCACACTCAGTGCTTGATAGTAAAAAAGAGCCTAGATAATGTAGAATTTCAAATAGAGCCATAACTATGTCAAAATCCATGTTAGAGTTATGGGCCTTGGACAGTGACTTTTATGCTCTCAAATAAGTGTGTAAATTTCAACCCATTCCCTTTAGTATTTTTAGAGATTCTTAAAGCTTAACCAACGCATGATGCAGGCACCTGTGTGAATACAATAGCTTCCCCTATTCTTTGAATAGTCAAGCTAAAAACTAATCTACAACCATTCTAATCGGAGATTAAAATTTCATGAAATTTCACAGCTTATACATATGTGACATGTAGTCATCTGATATTTTATGACTACATAAGATTTTGAGATATGAGAGCACAAAAAAAAATGCACCTACCAGAGACTTCTTTTTCCATATTTATTTTCCATTTCACAGGAATATCACAGAATGTTTTACAATCCTGGAGCCGATCCTTCAGATTAAATACATATTTGAGTCTAACATCGGCCAATATAGAAGCTAGTTCTGCAGAACCCATTTCTGTACTTTCCTCTTGGCCTTGTCTCTTCTCTGATTTTCAAAAAGGTCAAAAAAGATTTATTCATTAAAAACTTAATATAATCATTATTACTTTTTTTTAGCAATATTCTCTGTATATTTTCTACCATTAATTTGATTGGGGGAAAAAAAGCCAATAATTTGATATTTTTTTACTAATATTTTATAAATTATAAATGATATTATAAAAAGAAAATGTCATTTTCCAAGGTTTAATAAAGAGAGTTATATTTATTTTTTTCTTTCAGATTCTTAAAAACTATAGATATCTGATATATGGCTTCTTTTATATGCAAAAAAATGATTAATTAATCACAGTACCGCAACAGATGTTTAAATGTCTGACATATGTTTCATACATAATGCCATAAGCAAACTATATCTGGAAATTTTTACCTGCCCAGTGCTGTAACACAGTTCTTTGTAACGACACTATATCTGCCTCTACATTTCTCAAGGTATCCCAACTCATCAAAGGGAGCTCACTCAAATCAATCTTTTCAGAATCATCTCCCTTTACAGGACAAATGGCACTTTTGTATAAATTGTTTACTAAATCACCACTGAGATGGTATGGATGTTGAAGAACATAGGCATATGCTACGAAATTCTCTAAAGTTTGATGTTTATCAGGGGAGGTTACTATGAAGTATAAGAACTCATAATTGTCTTGCAGGACTTCTTCAGGTTCTATAAACACAAATGTAGATAAATGTAAATCAAAAGAAAAAGTGACCTCTGTGTATATAACAGTAATGGTTAAAGTTGCACGCTTCCGGATGAGGTAAAAAATTACAAGAAATTCAAAACTTGAAAAAAATATGCATGTACTAAGATTTTAAGAAAAGTATTAAGATTCAAGATTCAAGTAATAATTCACATGTGACTGGTGATAAAGACTGATTTTGTAGTATTTTTCACCATAATTCTACTATGTTACATACGCAGTAAGAACTATTTTTGCATATTCTGGCATTTTTTTGGTAATACAAAATGTATTCGATTTTGCCATTTGCGATGTGTAAATTACTTTTGTTGTTCACATGACAATATTTTACATTTTGGATACATACATTTCAAAATTTTCTTGAAAATAAGCATGAATCTGGAGACATGCTAGTGTCAATACATTTATCAAATCAATAAAAGTTTCATATTTTAGAATATCCCTGCTGTCTCATCATGGACTGCAAATTTTTTTTAACTAGTCACCACATAAATAAACATTTTTCATAAAATGGTAGAAGTTTTTGACTAGAATGAAAAATGGATAAGTCCATTTGTTTTTTGGCTGGTACCAACACAGTAGAGGTCATATCACATCCTTCAAGCTTTACTGGTGGAGGAAGATCTTGGATGCTGGATGCCCTTCGGTGCATTATTCTAAGCATCTCAGTAGAACCACTGACGTGCCGCAAGCTAGCTGGACAACTTCCTCACATGAAAGAATCCAAAGTCACGTGCAGGATTCAAACCCACAGCGGTGATGGGCATGTGGTTTGAAAGTCGACGACCTTAACCACCTGATCACAGACATCCAAATAAAGCCATTCAGTGTAGTAAGGGTTAAACCTTGTACAAACTGTATGTCAGCCATAATGTTTTCCTTCCATGCTTCTGTAGACAATCCAACTTCACCACAAGATGGCGCCACTTCTTGACCAGGGTATACAGCTAACCTTGCCAACATTCCTGTCTGTAATCAGTAAACAACACAAAATATAAGCAATCAGTCAATGCTAGCAAACCAAACAAATAATTTGTATATATCATCCGTTCAATATACATGTACGTACTATGCAGGTAGTCCACTTTGATTAAAAACTCTAATAATAATATTGAGAAAAAACACAGTTTGCATTGGAAATCTCTTTTTTACCATATTTTTGTCATCTGCCAAGCTAATTTAAGCAAATCTGTTCTTGTTCTTGTTTTATCACCTATACTAGCATGTTAACATTAATATCAACCATTCCATATGATTTTTTTTTAACCAATGACTGAACAAAATGAGTGGGCAGTATATAAACTGTCTTAATAAAACAAAAAAAGTTACTAAAAAAACATGTACCAGACCAAGAATACTGGCTTATAAAGCCAATTAAATTCAATCTTAACACTCCCCCATATAATAGTTCCAAATCAAAACAGGCAAGTATAGCTTATCATTAGAATTTTTGTAGTTATGAAATACAAGCAGCTAATTTAGGTTTTCAAATAAGCTAATTTGAGACATAAAATGTCTCAACAAACAGAATTATATTCATAAAAAAGGTATAGCAAAATCTTTAATTACCTGAGAGTTTTCCTGGATGTAATTCATTAATACTTGTGAATAGGCATGCTTTTGATACAAACATCTTGTATAATGTTAAGTTCAATATATGAATCAGTACAATTATTATCATATTGGTATGTATATGTATAAATATTAAAGGAACTCCACCAAGGTCCAAAAACTTAAAAACATAAAATTTCAATTCCTTACATAGATTAACTTGGTCACTTAAAACCGACAGATGTTTGAAAGAAATTTAAAAAATGTACTCAGAATAAATTGAAAATCATATATTTGGGCTATTTTTGCCAGATTTGAGTGGATAAGCGTTGCAACACTTTTCAATTTTGGATTATTTTTAACAATTATTCTGGAAAAATGGAGTGAGCAAATTGATCTAAAATTTTGCATACAAGTTATTGGTCTGGACCAACATTAAATGAACATTAATCTCAATAAAATATTTCCAATCCTTTTATATAAAAAATCTCAGTGCCCCTTTAAATCTCTAATAAGTGTTATGTTTATAGCAAAATTCTACTTAAATGCACCTGAAATGTTTCTTTTTTAAAATTATCGTGTGAATTAAAGCATTTACAAAAATAAGTTTATTATATATTCCAACATTTCTAGTAATTTCTCCTCTTGTAATGATGAAAATTGTTAATATTGAAACAAATTTATGACCAATTTAAAGTGAATTGGGTCTATAATGGAAGGTTTTTTATAGAGTAAATAATTAAGTTGATAGTTGGTATTAGTATTAGACGTAACAACAAACCATGAATGAATTATATATGGATGTTACTGTCAAGAGTGAGATACATGATCCAATATTACATCTTTTATATACATGTAATTATATATGTTGTAACAGTACTCCTAAATTTTCTAAATTACCATTCTATAAATTCTATAATACTGATGTGTCGGCTAGGTTATCAAAAGAGTTTTATTTTCTTGATGTGTTTAAACCAAAACTAAACAAAAATTGATAATGTCGACATTTTTTATGTTATGTTGCGTACATAAATAATATAAATTGACGTTGTTACCATAATTATTATGTTTATTTGCCCTGATGAGTGAATATGTAGTTGGCATTAAACTAAAATGAGAAAAATCAGTTAATGTTATCTATTTCTTAGTATAATTTTTTCTTGTCTGTCATCTTTTTATTTATCATTTATAAATTATATATCTATTCATAAGAATTAAGCACCTTTTATTCAATGTATTAAAGAGCTAGCTTAATGGATTCTGTATGTAACACAATTAACCCCCCAAAGAGCTAGCATAATGGATTCTGTATGTAACACAATTAACCCCCCAAAGAGCTAGCATAATGGATTCTGTATGTAACACAATTAACCCCCAAAGAGCTAGCTTAATGGATTCTGTATGTAACACAATTAACCCCCCAAAGAGCTAGCATAATGGATTCTGTATGTAACACAATTAACCCCCCAAAGAGCTAGCATAATGGATTCTGTATGTAACACAATTAACCCCCCAAAGAGCTAGCTTAATGGATTCTGAATGTAACACAATTAACCCCCCAAAGAGCTAGCTTAATGGATTCTGTATGTAACACAATTAACCCCCCGAAGAGCTAGCATAATGGATTTTGTATATAAAGCAATCAATTTTTTTCTGTAGGGTAAGGATACAGTTTATATACATGAGGTGTTTTCATTAATGATGGTACTGTCAGCAAACTGACTTCATCAAGAATCTCAAACATCCGTCCTAAATGACATCCGTCCTGAAATCAAAAGGACAAAATCTTAAAAAAAATTCAGAAGGACAAAAAAAATCATAAAGTTAAGTGATAATTCAATCACTGTGAACAAATTTTCTTTCTCTTTGTAGTATTGTAAAACAGACACATTCACAATGTCCTTAATATGAATTTCTACATAAATTTTATGTCTGAATTGCGCTGCAACACAAATATATTTATTATCTTACAAAATTTGACAGGTTACTAACAACAAAAGAATGAAGCAAGCTTTCACATTTAAAATTTGAAATCTGTCCATAGGGCATGAATGTCTCCACATTCCACTGTTTTGACAGTCACACACAGACAGCAGAACAGACAGATAACGGCAAATCTATATACCCCCCCCCCCCCCTCACCCAAAGAACGATAGCCGTGACAAAAGGTATTACCTTGTCCTGATCTATTATAGGGAACTTGAAGTCAGGTGTTTCCTCATTTATCTTGTGCATACTCACACCTGAAACTGTCAGCCCATTGTTCTCCTGAAATGTAACAGACACACATTTATGATATGCAATATTCTTCTGCATACAATTATAATTTAGCTTAAATACTGGGAAAATATATTGTAAATTGTCTGGATGTTATATACTATGATATTTCAATCATTTTCAATAATGCTCTAAATAAATAACAAAACAATGAACAATACAAACATTTAAGTGCCTAACAATCAAAAACGATATCTGTGCATCAACCTTATCAATTGTTAGTCAATTTGAAATTGTCAATTAACACTTACTACTGTAATAATCTCTAAGGTTTTTAAACCAGTTGACAAAAATGCAGTCAATAATCAACATCATATTAAATGTTCGGTTTACATTTTACTTACTAGACACACCATACCCTGCCTTTCTTTGTTTGTTTGATTGGGTTTTACGTTGCACCGACACAGTATAGGTCATATAGAGACGTTCCAGCTTTTCTGGTGGAGGAAGACCTCAGGTGCCCTTCTGTGCATTATTTCAGGCTTAAACAGGTACCTAAGTAGAACCACTGACGTTCTGTAAGCTAGCTGGATAGCTGCCTTTCTTTCAATTTAAATGTATTTTGCCAAATTTTAGTGAGAATACTGCCGAGTGCTCTTATAAATGCTTTCTTTCCAAAACTCTTAATACAACTCTGCCCCTTTAAAGTCTATTAAACCCTGAAAACACGGTGTGAGATGGTTTTTTTTTGGACAGGGGTATACAGTAACCTGTCTACCTCAAGTTAACAAATCTCTGGTTTAGTCCACCTGAATTAACAAACTCTTTGTGAATTTATACTTACAATACTGAAATGAATTTTACAGAGGCTGATCGCATATATACAATATTTCCACTTACTATTTTATCACAGACAGATATTTTGCCCCTCCACATCAAGTTGTCTCCCTTGAGTTGGAATCTCTTAGTATCAACATACACGTCAGCCGAGAGGAATTTCTGTAAGAACTCCGTATCTGGGCTTGGATCAGGCTCAAACACAACAATATGTGCATTGTGCCAATCTTTTAGTCTCCGTAATGCTCCAAGGAATAGAATATAGTTGCTGAAACATACAGTGTACACCTATTTGTATTATTTGCACATGTCGCACCATTTACGTTAAGGTCCGGTGGAAACTGTACAATTTTTTACTGTCTGAAGAAGACCCTTCTTGCATCCCTTATACTGACCATTTTTTATGATTAACTTAAATCATTATAGTTTGAAAGCATTTACATGTAAATTGATATTCCTTAAAATAACATTCTGTTTAAAAGTAATAAAAAAAAGATAACATCTATTTCACTATACATGTATTTTAAAAGCAAGACATAAATCATTACCTTTTATCTTTGACTTTTGGTGGCCAAATGTACACATCAACAACAATTCCTGAAAGGAAATTTAAGACAAAATGATATTCCTAAATTTTAATGCTCTCCCAAAAAGATTATGTTATCTTTATAACTCTATATGAACTAACTGACCCCTTGGGCTGAGCCACTTTTGACTCCAAGGGATCATGCACAAGGCAATGTAACATGCTCTGGTCGTAGTTCCCCGAGGAGGGGCTAAATTCCACCCCAGGGCTTTAATTTGAACCATGGTAGATGTCCCTTAAACAATGTTGCAAGAGCTGTGTCTAAATATGTCTGTAATGACTTTGATTTTACAAGTAGTGTCACCAGTATGTTGAAAAACACCAGTATTTTAAAAAGAACTACATTGAAAAACTTTTTGGGTCCTTAATTCACAATTTTTGTACAAAATCCAACATCTAGTAGTCTTTACAGAATATAATCCTCTTATTTCTTATCAGAACTAAAAACATTTTTTTTGTAAACTGCAGGCAGTAGCTTAATACACTTAGATATCAATTCAGAAAAAGTTGGCATCATATCACTTTTTTAACATCACTTCAATACTTATTACTTTTGATATATCACTCTATATGTTAAATCTGATGCACTTGTATGTTTAAAGATATACTATGCTCATCTTAATCTTTTCATTGCAGAAATTTATTGAAATTTATAAAATTCTTACTGAGTAAAAATATACAAACTATGTTTGGGAATCTACCGTTCCTGAATACCAGCTTAGTAAACTTGGTCAAAACTACATATCAGTTTTGGCGAGAAGATTTTCGCTACATTATTTACATCAGTGTTAAACAACAGGTTTATTGTGAACAAAATACCTCGAAATTAATAAGGATTTCCAACCGAAATGGAAATTCTAAATTTAGAATAATTTGATTTTATTCAAGCGTTCCCCATGGTGCATTGATAACACGCCCATTTAGGGTGTGAGAGGTCTGGGGTCCAAATCCCAGTCAAGAAAACTATTTTTTAAGTGTCTTTTTTAAGGAAGTAGCCATGGTATGCAAGGATAAAGTGTGCCTGTCATAAAAAAAATGAACATAAACGAATTTTTGATGCAACTCTAGTCCCAATTAAGTGAGAAAAATCACTGACCTGCATAATCAAGAAGTTAGGGCCTCTTCCCAATAAAGTGAGAAAAATCACTGACCTGCATAATTAGGAGATTAGGGCCTCTTCCCAATTAAGTGAGAAAAATCACTGACCTGCAAAATCAAGAGGCTAGGGCCTCTTCCCAATAAAGTGAGAAAAATCACTGACCTGCATAATCAAGAGGCTAGGGCCACTTCCCAATAAAGTGAGAAAAATCACTGACCTGCACAATCAAGAGATTAGGGCCTCTTCCCAATTAAGTGATAAAAAAAACACTGACCTGCATAATCAAGAGGTTAGGGCCTCTTCCCAATTATGTGAGAAAAATCACTAACCTGATGCAGGTAAACTGTCAGCAACAATGTGGAGATTTTCAGCTGTTATCTTTAGATCAAAATCATCAAAACTGAAAATAAAATCAGTAAACTGAGGTTTTTAATTTGTTTTGGTTATTGTTGCTGTTTAATTTTTGAGCTTTTCTCTTTAAATAGAGTAATAAGGATTCATAACAGCTTGACTTTTTCTTATAAACAGCTGAGCTAAAAATAATATTTAATTCATATAAATAACTGATGAAAATGAGTTATAATGTATAAATGTTGTATGCTGTGATTTTAAACAATACTTGTATGTACAGTACAAAATACCTTTCCTTTTCTTCACAAATGTCTAATTTGTTCAGAAAGTTATCAAAATCAAGCCATGTCACATCTTTGTTGTCTTCGATACTTTGCTGTGAAAAAAAATGTGAATTCGCAGATCAAGTAGAAATTTGTTTCAACCTAGCAACATGAGCTGTCTGGATCAGAATATTAAAGCTGCATGCATCCAGATTAGCCGTAATATTTCAATGAAATATGTACTAAGATTTAAGGAAAAGTAAAAAGAATTCAAGATTTAAGCAATAATTTACATGTTATGTGCGAATAATGATTGATTTTTCAGTATTTATATCCATATTTCTACTGCTTTACTAATGCAGTATTTTACCTCATTTTGGTAATTCATATTGTTTGTGAGTGCTGTTTATAATGAGTAAATTGCTTCCTTCTGGTTACTTCATAATATTTTACTTTGAAATACATTTTCAAAATTTTCATGAAAATTAGAATAATTCTGGAGGCATGCTGCTTTAAATTTTAAATCATCCCAATGACATCTTCAACAGTTTTTCTTCTTTTTTTTTGTTTTTAAACGAAAAAACACACCAAAAAAACCAATATCTCTTGAAGTCCAAACTGATCATTTATTACAATTCTAAAGTTACATAATGGGACTTGACTTACTTCTATAAATATCATTTTCTTTTTTTAATTTATCTGCCAACAGTGTCGTAACTTGATCAAATTTCATTTAATATTTTCTGTCTTATTAAAGGGTCATACAGAAGATCTTTTTTTTTGTTTCAAAAAAATTAATTTGATCAGATTTCATTAAATCTTTCCTTTTTAATTAAAGTACATCTAACATTTTTGGTATAACTAATACAATACATTTAATTGTAAAAGATCCTGTAACACAATTTTTTATGGTTTTATATCATAAATATAATGCTCAAATGAAGATTTATCAATATTGTAAGTTCCAACAAGAGCTGTCGGTAGGACAGCAACGCTCGACTATTCTTAGTGCTTGATAGTAAAAAAAATGCTTGATACAGTTACCTCCTCCTGTTTACAGGTTGGGGTCATGATGGTGAACAAGTGTGCAAAGTTTCAAAGCCATATGTCAATGGACTTTGAAAATATTTGAACTATTACAAAAACTTTAACGTAAATTCAAGTCGAAAAAGGGGCATCATTCTGTCAAAATGCTTGATAGAGTTACCTCCTACTGTTTACAGATTGGGGTCATGATGTTGAACAAGTGTGCAAAGTTTCAAAGCCATATGTCAATGGACTTTGAAAATATTTGAACTATTACAAAAACTTTAACTTAAATTATAAGTCGAAAAAGGGGCATAATTCTGTCAAAATGCTTGAATAGAGTTACCTCCTCCTGTCTACAGGTTGGGGTCATGATGGTGAACAAGTGTGCAAAGTTTCAAAGCCATATGTCAATGGACTTTGAAAAATATTTGAACTATTACAAAAACTTTAACGTAAATTCTAAGTCGAAAAAAGGGGCATAATTCTGTCAAAATGCTTGATAGAGTTACCTCCTCCTGTCTACAGGTTGGGGTCATGATGGTTGAACAAGTGTGCAAAGTTTCAAAGCCATATGTCAATGGACTTTGAAAATATTTGAACTATTACAAAAACTTTAACTTAAATTATAAGTCGAAAAAGGGGCATAATTCTGTCAAAATGCTTGATAGAGTTACCTCCTCCTGTCTACAGGTTGGGGTCATGATGGTGAACAAGTGTGCAAAGTTTCAAAGCCATATGTCAATGGACTTTGAAAATATTTGAACTATTACAAAAACTTTAACGTAAATTCTAAGTCGAAAAAGGGGCATAATTCTGTCAAAATGCTTGATAGAGTTACCTCCTCCTGTCTACAGGTTGGGGTCATGATGGTGAACAAGTGTGCAAAGTTTCAAAGCCTATATGTCAATGGACTTTGAAAATATTTGAACTATTACAAAAACTTTAACATAAGTGTTTACGCCGACGCTCGGGTGACTGCAATAGCTCTACTTATTCTTATCGAATAGTCGAGCTAAAAAGCATTATTTGTAAAGATATAACCGAATTTACATTTCATGTTAATTAAGGGAGGTAATCAAAAATTTATTTTCTATAAAGTCTAAGCCAAATTGTTCAAATGTGGACAAATATTTGCAGTACATATTTTACATATTTTTCGATATTTGAAAATTGTTTTAGAAGCATAATTATGTACATATATAAAATTTCACTTAAGTGTGGTTACAAACTTAATTATAACATACAGGATCTTTAACCTTGTAGTCTTGACATTTTCTCAGGAAGAACATTCACATTTAAACATTTTTTTAAAATTTGTTATGAACAATTCTTAGCAGCAATGCATTTAGTTACAAAGTGACATACCAACTCTGGCTAAATGATATTTCTTTTCAACAGTTCAATGTAAATATAAGTCCAACATACCTTAAAATTATCTTTGTTTCCCCATCTACGACTCATGCCAATTTAGGAGTATTTTTTTGTTGTTGGTTTTTTTTTTTTTTTTTGGGGGGGGGGGGGGGGGGGGGGGGGGGGGGGGGGGGGGGGGGGGGGGGGGGGGGGGGGTAATTTTTTTTGGTTGGATTTTAACGTTCACACCCAAACAGTATAGGTCATATGTCGACTTTCCAGATTGGTTGGTGAAAGGAAGACCCTACAATGCCCCTATGTTTATCATTTCAGTCAAGAAGGGGCGCCTGAGTAGAACCACATATGCTCCATAAGCTACTTGAATACATTCCTAATATGAAATAATCCAAAGTGCCTTGTGGGAATCAAACCCCCAGCGGTGAGTGGCAAATGGTTCAAAGTCAACAAACTTAACCACTTGGCCATGGATGCCCCACCGTAGGGCGGGTGGGCAGGCAGCCTGGCAGGAAATTAGGGTAAAAAAAAAATTATCTAAAGACAGATATTGTGATAAGATTCTCAATGACAGTCTCTGCTTCTATATATACTAAAATAAAAATTGTTTTTGTAATTTGGCAATAACATTATTTGAGTAGCTGTGATTTTTGTAAATAATTTTGGCCCTATGCAAACCAATGCAATGATGACATAACAAGAGGTTGTAAATAACACAAATAATTCTTTTTTTCCCCCTCAAATGTGAAAGAAAATATTTTTTTTTTTATTTTACTAAAACATGCCAAGTACATTTGTATAAACACAATCATTGAAATCCTTCAAAAAGTATCATGTGTAAACCAATAATTTCACAGAAAATTTTGTTGAAAAGGGGCATAACTGTATCAATTTTGACCTGTGTTTCAATATAACATATGCCGAACATAAACACAATCTTTGAAATTCTTCCAAAGACATATTGCAGAAACCAATGCCTACAGACAGACGGATTTGCAACCACAGTAGGATAAGAGGCCATTTCTTTAGGTATTTTATTTTCTTTAATAGAGGGCCATGGGCCTTTTATTCTATTCAGTATTGTTATGGATTGAACTCTCTTTTGTTCTGTTTACAGTTTGATGGCCCTCTATCTATTTTCGGTAGTACAGACAGACAGACAATGCCATAACATAACGTCACGTTCAGAAGCATCTGAGAGTGTATAAAAAAAATAGGGTTCATTTTCCAAAAATGTCCTTGGCAGATAATAACCTTTAAAGACATGAATGGTGACTTGCTAGGGGTCGATACTCTCAGTGCCTTAAAGGGTCGGATGAACCCTCTTTTGCCTAGAATACACACACATATAAAGAACTTGCCCCTAGCTTAACACCAGCCCACAGTCTGGCTTTAAAAAGGCTTCAATAACTTATTCTTTCTTGCCACTAAAATATAAACAAGAGGGCCATGATGGCCCTGGATTGCTCACCTGACCCATCAAACTCATCCAAACAATTACCTAGACAAGCATTCTGACCAAGTCTCATGACAGGTGAGTCAAAAATGTGACACTACAGTGTTAACAAGGTTTATCCATATTTGAGCAGTGTGACCTAGTTTTTTACCCAGGTGACCCATATTCAAACTTGACCTAGAAATCATCAAAACAAACTTTCAGACCAATTTCCAGGATACTTGAATCAAAACAGTAGCAACTAGAGTGTTAACAAGATTTTTCTATCTTTAGCTCCGGTGACCTAGTTTCACATGCGATTTCGAACTCATGTCCGAGCAATTACCTAGACAAGCATCCTGACCAAGTTTGGTGATAATTGAGTCGAAAATGTGTTCCGAAGTGACCACTAGAATGTTAACAAGGTTTTTCCAATATTTGGGGGCGGTGTGACCTAGTTTTTCATCCAAGATGACCCATGTTCGAACTTGGACTTAGAAATCATCAAACAAACTTTCAGACCAATTTACAGAATATTTGGATCACAACAGTAGCCACTAGAGTGTTAACAAGATTTTTCTATTTTTAGCTCCTGTGACCTAGTTTTTCAATCCGAAATGACCCATGTTCGATTTTATCCCAGCAATGACCTAGACAAGTTCCTGACCAAAGTTTGATGACAATTGGAGTCAAAATTGTGACCACTAGAGTGTTAACAAGGTTTTTCTATTTTTAGCTCCTGTGTCCTAGTTTTTCATCCGAGATGACCCATGTTCGAACTCATCAGAGCAAGTACGTAGACAAGCATCCTGATCAAGTTTGATGACACTTGTGTCAAAAATGTGACTGCTAGAGTGTTAACAAGATTTTTCTATTTTTAGCTCCTGTGACCTAGTTTTTCATCTGAGATGACCCATGTTCGAACTCATCCAAGCTATCACCTAGACAATCATCCTGACCAAGTTTGATGATGATTGAGGCAAAAATGTGACCGCTAGAGTGTTAACAAGGTTTTTCTATTTTTAGCTCCGGTTACCTACTTTTTCATCCGAGATGACCCATGTTCAAGCTCAGCCGAGCTTTCACCTAGACAAGCACCCTGACCAAGTTTGATGATGATTAAGGCAAAAATGTGTCCGCTAGAGTGTTAATAAGGTTTTTCTATTTTTAGCTCCAGTGACCTAGTTTTTCATCCAGGATGACCCATGTTCGAACTCATTCAAGCTATCACCTAGACAAGCATCTTGACCAAGTTTGATGATGATTGATGCAAAAATGTGACTGCTAGAGTGTTAACAAGGTTTTTCTATTTTTAACTCCGGTGACCTACTTTTTCATCCAAGATGACCCATGTTCGAACTCATCCAAGCTATCACCTAGACAAGCATCCTGACAAAGTTTGATGATGATTGAGACAAAAATGTGACCGCTAGAGTGTTAACATGGTTTTTCTATTTTGTGCTCTTGTGAGCTAGTTCTTCATCAGAGATGACCCATGTTCAAACTCATCCGAGCTATCAACTAGGTAAGCATCCTGACCAAGTTTGATGATGATTAAGGTATTAGCACCCTAATGCATTACCTCCGCGTTGAAGAGTATTCAAATAGGCTAGAACTACTGTTAACTACATTGAAAATGAGGGCCATGGGTTCAATCCCCAGAAGGGTCAACTTTTTTTTCTTTCTTTTTTTCTTTTAATATCATTTATGTATCTCTCATGTCCCATTTGGAAAGAAAAAAGTGTTTAATTTTGATTTTTTAATTTATATAGGTATTTATTGGCTAAATTATGCTAAATCTAGTAATAAATATGATACCTGATACTTTCAAAGTGTAATAAAATCAAAACTAGACGGTAAAAGTATTTCATATTTTACAAGATCAACCAATATACTATTTTAAAAATTTAGGGATACTTTGTAAACAGGCGCTTGTTTGGGTAAATTTTAAGATTTTTTTTAAATTAGGCTCCCGAAGTAGAAAAATGGTCAGACACGTGGTAAAAATTGGTCAGGTAGGGTAACATTTTTATACAGATTTCATAAATTTTATGTAGAAACCATAATTTTGCTTATGTGGATTGTTAGCTGAATGGTACTATTTGTTTCTTACCAAATATTAATGGGAAAACATTTTTCATAAGAAAGTTATTTCAGATTATTTAAAGGTTCCTCATTTCTAAAAAAGGGCCCTCATAACATCCTAGCTTGAGTTCAGAAAAGTGGCCATAACTTGATTTCCGTACGGTAAACTTTGTTTAAATTTTGCATACAGGTATACTTTAAGGTAAACATCTGACCTATGATGTCTATTTTTCAGTTCCTTATAGTGCCCATTAGGGTCCTAATACCTTAAGGCAAAAATGTGACCGCTGGAGTGTTAACAAGGTTTTTCTATTTTTAGCTCCTGTGACCTAGTTTTTCATCCGAGATGACCCATGTTCGAACTCATCCGCGCTATCAACTAGATAAGCATCCTGACCAAGTTTGATGATGATTAAGGCAAAAATGTGACCGCTGCAGTGTTAACAAAGTTTTTCTATTTTTAGCTCCATTGACCTAGTTTTTCATCAGAGATGACCCATGTTCGAACTCATCTGAGCTATTACCTAAATAAGCATCCTGACCAAGTTTGATGATGATTGACGTAAAATTGTGACCGCTAGAGTGTTAACAAGGTTTTTCTTTTTTTAGCTCCAGTGACCTACTTTTTCATCCGAGATGACCCATGTTCGAACTCATCCAAGCTATCACCTAGACAAACATCCTGACCAAGTTTGATGATGATTGAGGCAAAATGTGACCGCTAGAGTGTTAACAAGGTTTTCCTATTTTTAGCTCTTGTGGCCTAGTTTTTCATCCGAGATGACCCATGTTCAAACTCATCCGAGCTATCAACTAGATAAGCATCCTGACCAAGTTTGATGATTATTAAGGCAAAAATGTGACCGCTGGAGTGTTAACAAGGTTTTTCTATTTTTAGCTTCTATGACCTAGTTTTTCATCCGAGATGAACCATGTTTGAAGTCATCCGAGCATTAACCTAGACTAGCATCCTGACAAAGTTTGATGATACAAGAGTCAAAAATGTGTCCACTATAGTGTTAACAAGGTTTTTCTATTTTTAACTCCTATGACCTAGTTTTTAATCCAAGATGACCTATGTTCAAACTCATCCAAGCTATAACCTAGACAAGCACCCTGACTACGTTTGATGATGATTGATTTAAAATTGTGACCGCTAGAGTGTTAAAAATGTTTTTCTATTTTTAGCTCTTGTGGCCTAGGTTTTTATCCGAGTTGACACATGTTCGAACAAATCCGAGCTATTACCTAGATAAGCATCCTGACCAAGTTTGATGATGATAGAGGCAAAAATGCGACCGCTAGAGTGTTAACAACTAAATCTGAAGGGACGACGGCCGACGGACAATCATCGATCCTAAAAGCTCACTCTGAGCATGCTCAGGTGAGCTAATAAAAAGGTTTCAATAATTAATTCTTTCTTGCCACTAAAAAATAAATAAAAAAGTCTATTTCTATTTTTAGCTCCGGTGACCTAGTTTTTCATCCGCTCAGGTGAGCTAATAAAAAGGTTTCAATAATTAATTCTTTCTTGCCACTAAAAAATAAATAAAAAAGTCTATCATCCAAAAAGGTTAAAGCAAAATGTTAAAGTTAATAAAATCAGAAATACCTTTACACTGTAATTTAAACATGTACACTGGACAGAAGTTTTTTGATATCCCTGGATAAGTGTTTCAGATACTGGCACCACATCATTGTTAACTGAAAATTCAAAAAACACCACAAAGATACTGTTAATTGATTCATTCACCCACACATTGTTTCGATATGGGGTCTTATCATAGTCTCAATATTTTGACTGCCAGACCGAAAGATTTTACAAAGTGCTGTTACATAGATGTTGGTCTTTCGAAGGGCGACCATCATTTACATAATAACTAGAAATGTGTCCATAGGACAAGGATGCCCCCACACGCCACTGTTCTGTCAATCTTATGACTCTAGGTCAAATATTTTTTGGACTACCTGTGCCACAAGTTGAAAACTAAAAATCAACAAAGGGCCATAATTCTGTTAAACTTGGTCGCAGCAAAAATTCCTTCCTTTACTATCATCTACACATTTAGGTTGTTCATCCCTGGAAGTTTAAGCAAAATCTGCCATCCAGTTTAAGAGGAGTTGCGTTCACAAAATTTCTACATAGTATATACAGTCTTCGCCTTAATTTTTTATCAGCACTAGCCCAGTCGGGCTAGCAGCTTACAAAGGTCACTAGCCCGAACACATTTTAACTAGCCCGAACCAAAATGGTATTTTTTTGCATACATTTTGTACAAAAATAACACTTTCTATATGTTTTATATATGATATATACCATTTAACATTATCAAAATATCAACTTATCAACTTTTCTTCCTTTCATTATTTAAATAAGAAGACTTTAAACTACATATGAAAAGATATTTTGATATTTCTGTGGCATTGTCCATAGACACTGAAAAAAAAATTGTTTAAAAACTGAAATTACTCTTCTCCTCGTTTACTGTAACCATGTCGGCTGATACATGCATTGACAACAAATTTATATTCCTTTTCGTATTACTTTTTTTTTTTTGGTGTGTTCCTTTTTGGCTTAGTGCCTTCAAAATACAAGAGAAAAGACATATTGTGAAGCATGAGATGACGCCTAATAAATGTCTAACAATCAATAATATTTCATAAGCGTTTTAAGGGGCCGGTTTTAAGTTCAATAAAGCTGCAAATAATTTTTTAGGGCCAAGGTGGTTTACCCATCAAAATCTAGAGTAAAATGAAAATTCTGGGGTAAAATTTATAAAAAGAATTTGCATTGTTTTGTTATCAAATTTCATTGCCTTCTAAAAAGTTCCTTTCTTTACATAAATCAGTCTGACTTACATAAATAATAAAATATTGATTCAATGTGAAATAATACAAAACTTGCTACATGTTAAGGCAGGCTTCCCTAGACTAGGGTTTGTTTAGGTTACACAGCAAGTTAATGACAAGACTCATTTTTTTATTGCTGACATGTTGTTGTTTGAATGTGTCACATTCTTTTACAATCAGCTACATGGTCAGCATGAGGCTATATTCATACTCTATTTCTACAGACTACATTTTAGTACCGTTCTTTGGTTTTGATTATTTATAATTGAAATTAGAATTAATGAAAAATAAATATAATAGAATTAAAACTTTTATACACAAAGAATTAGTCTTTGAGGAAATTGTCCGTAACTGTAAACTTGGTACGAAAATATTGAGTACAAAACTGCAGATGGCAAGGGAGAAATATGTTTTACAATAAATAAAGTTGCAAGTACAACATTTTCCTTTATTTTGTAGCAAAAAAATTATAATATATGTCTAAACAAATTGAATATTAGGTTAAGTCCTACGATGATTACACCAAATTTAACTTTATCATAATTTCATTTCAGAAACTCCCAAGAGTTACCTTCCCTTTTTACTCGATGTCACTTCCTGCTACTTTCGTTTTCAACTTACAGCAGTGTTGACAATAGTACTTTTAATTTTCCATCCAATTCAGCAGAAATCTATTGGATTTTCATAAAGCCAAAACATTGCTATCTGAAGCTCTGCATATTTCCAACATTTTCTTAATTTGGATATGAAAAAAGCCCTCGACCAGACGGGCTACCAGCTTGGAATTTTCACTCGACCACCCGCAAATTTACTCAACTCGGTCGTCGGTCGAGTGGGTTAAGTCGAAGACTGTATATAGTAAAAAAATCAACAAAGGGCCATAAATCTGTTAAATTTGGTCGCAGCGAAAATTCCTTCCTTTACTACCTTCTACACATTAAGGTTGTTCATCCCTGGCAGTTTAAGCAAAATCTGCTATCCGGTTTAAGAGGAGTTGCGGTCACAAGATTTTTTTTCAGGACATACACAGACGTACGGACGGACAGACGTACGGACAGACAAGTGCAACGCTATATGCTCCTACTTTGTGGGGGCATAAAAAAGGAC